ATTGTTGAAATAACACCAACAGCCTAGATAAAAATTATTTGTGATATTTTATACTAATTATGAAACAACGATTAAGTTTTCTTCTAAAACTATGGAGAAAATTTGTAACACTGCTGTATTATTTTAGTCGCCCTTTGTTCTTCAAGAGTGATGATTTAACTAGAAAGCCCACATTATCCCTATAAGCAATGTATCTAGTCAAAACTCTAAAATGAAATGAGTCTATAGAAGTCTTCATGAATTAAGTATTGATTTCTATAGACCTTCACTGTGCGTTTTGTCGCCAACATTTTCTTACCATCAGGTTCATTTATATTGCTATCTGACTCGTTGACATAAGAATCACACCAGAGGACGTCAATCATCATGTCAACCAATAAACAAATTACCACTAATTTAAAACACATGACAAATCACTCTTTTATTTATGAAGATCACCGATAGAATATCGAGAGCCTTTCGAATAGATGCTGCTTGTTAGTAGGAGAGATCGGATAACTATGGGTTCTCCAATCGATTCGCTGCTAGCAAACTTCTTTTTGGCTAGTATGGACAGCATTACTATCATACCTGCTATAAAGGGGCTCAACATCTACAAAATATACGTGGATGACATGCTCATTATATATGACGAGGATTGGGACTTGGATGATATCCTGAAAGTATTTATGACAGTCATCCCGCCATCCTGTTCAACTTAAAAGACGAAACTGAGGGGAAAATATCTTTCCTTGATGTGCTACTCACAAGGAGAGATGACGGATCTTTGAAAATCAACGTGGACAGGACAAGTGACCAATTTTTACCATTTTGTCCCCATAGACAGAAAATGGAGTCTAATCCGTTCTCTGTTAACATGGGTGCGGAGAATTTGTAGTCAGGATAGTGTCAATGATGAATTCAAGAAAGGGAATGAAACCTTCATAGAGAACGAGTATCCACCACGCTTCGTAGAGGCCAATGGCAAATTACGTGCGAGAAATACAGCATTTGACACATTGTTTAATATAGTCTACAAAGTTCGATAAAGTTTTCCCGAAGGGGCACAAATACGTTTGCCATGTATAGCAGAAGCTTTAGCAGTACATAACATCAAGCCAGAACTTTGTGTGTGATCTCTTTCGTTACCATGGTTTTGGTTTTACTTTGTAATTCACACAAAAAGTCTGCTATCCTTGTGAATTCCATGTTCCATTTTTGTTTTATTTTATTTCACTTTTTCTAATAATATTCTAACATACTATGCTATCCACTATTTTGACAACATTTCACTTATCCTATGTCTCCACCATATTATATTCACATATTCACATTTCCGCATGTACTTTATTTTCTGATCATCTATTTCACACTTGTCTGCCGAACTTTAGGCTGACCTGTATTTATTTATTTATTCATTCGTATATCAAACCAACTGTGACTCACAATCCAATTCACCAATATTATCATAGCACTCTAGTACTTCCACTCACTGTCAAACTGTAACACAAAAAACTGATAGTTATTGTCTACTGTAATTCATCTATATTGTGGCGGTAGATAAATCCCCTGAATTATTGGCCACAGCACTCATCACTAAACATTGGATTCTGACCCTTAATGTTTTTAAGTCAACTTGTTTAGCTGAATGCTTCCGGTGAGGTATCCCACCATTTGATACGCTTTCGTGTCGCGTTCGTTCGTTCGTGCACGATCCCTAGCTAGTTAAGCAATCATCTCGCACTCCAATTCGGTCCCAAAATATACCTCGTAATTTGGACGATCAATTCTGGTGTTTTGCTTTGCCTTTAGTCTACGCGGAACGAATACTATTGAAGTTGTGGGCATTATATCTTGCATTAGTATACTTCGTACTATCCGTGAACGTTGAATTTTTACTCATATTCGATGCCCGGAGGACTCACTTCCAAACCTCATCAGGTTCACTAGCCTCTGCCAGACATAATAAATGAAAAGTTGAATGAAAGGATGGTAACCTCAGCCTGTAATAAAAACATCACTGCCAGAGCAGAGAACAAACGCACTGGGAATTTACTATTGAAGCCTTATGTTCTACTCGGAGAGCAATCTATGAAAAATAACCCATCTAAAGTGGTGCAATTAAGTCACCTTCGGAAGGCTATTAAGTAGTAAACGTCTCTAAAGGGAAATATGTCATGAGTGTGATTACTGGTTTCGGCTACTATCTAAAAAACCAGTCCATCCTCAAAGAAAAATGAATAAAAATTTCTTGGGAAGTCAAACAGACGTCAAGAAGTAGAAAGTCGAACATGTTTCAATTTTGAGAGGGAATGTTGCCATCCAGGATTGCCAAGAATTAGTAGCGGTAATTTTATTTTCATTTTTTCCTGCATACTTCCTGAATTATTTATCAGGGTGATTTTTAATTTTTCGAGCTTCTGTTATACCACTTACTACTTGACTTCGATTCACCAGGATACAACTTGCGTCGATGGCACAGTGGTTAGGACTCTCGCCGACCATGCACATGGTCCGAGGTTCGATCCCCTGCCGACGCACACCTGATATCTATGGTCGGCCTGCAAAATTTGGGCTACCGATATTCATGCTGAAAATTCCATACTTGTACCGAAAATACAGTGTGGAATCAGGCTGTAATCAAAATAAAATAAAAATAAAATCAGACTTAGTTTTTCTGCTATGTTCCCTAAACATTTCACCAATCCTAATTTAACTGATATAAGGTGGGATGCATCGAAATCCAAATGTCGGTTTGAATATGTGCGTATTTTCATAATCATTATTGTCTAACTTCTTATCTTCTTTGTTTTTTATGCTGTAATCTAACACTTGGAGCTCCCTTTGCTGATTTTTCAATTCATAGGTGAACTGAATCACCTCTAACTTTGAGTTAAAGTATTCGAAAAATCTATTTATGTTTAGTGTTTTTATTCATGTAAATGTGCCATCTATATACTTCGCCCATACTTTGGGATGAAGCTGAATCTTGCAATCGCTAAGTTCTGCCACCTATCCACGAATATATCTAATATGATAAAGGTGGCCCCGTCAGTCTTTTAGCATATTTAGCCTTGGAATTTAAATGCTGTAGAAGTCAGACATAACTGCACTCTTATCATGATGTCATCTAGCCTAACATGACAAATCAGAAGTCATCTCTACACTGTAATTTAAAAACACAATTAATCTCCTTGTAGTCTGCATGGAAATTGGTCACCACAACAGCTGCCGATCAAAAAAGATTCCCGGGAAGTTATCACCAGCAAGTTATAAAACTTATTCTTTTTAAATGAAAACTAACCTAGAATTGTGAAACACAAACTCACTAAAATGACTCACCATTGATAATGTTCAATTTCCAATAAATTAACTGCCATTAAGTTCAATGTCCCTATAGCTAAACTACTAAAACTACAAATATTGATTGCTGTTTAATAAATATTCATTTCTGATTGAAAGTTAGTGCTGAAGATTTGGCAGTGCGTTGTAGTATGAGTTACGTAAGTTAGAAAATTTAGAAACTTCAATGGCTGACTTCACTAAATCTAAACTCACATAGGGTAAAATTCAGTGAACGCGAAGTGAAAATATTTTCAGTTATGAATGGGCATACTGAAGAAGTCATGTGATGGTGTTATGTTTACCACATATAAACCTCATAGAAACTTTTTGTCAACTTTCTGAAAGAATATACTTTCAGTATGGAAACTCTGTCTGTTTTTTACTTATTAATATTTTCTTTTTGATTATAACTTGATTGCACACGGCACTTTTGGCACAAGTATGAAATTTTCAACATGTGTTATTGGTAGGCCAAATTTTGCAGGCTGACCATTGATATCAGGTATGTGTCGGCAGGGGATAGAACGCCGAACCATGTGCATGATCAGTGAGAGTCCTAACCGCTGTGCCACTGATGCATTGTAATCTATACGGAATGAAATCGTCTATTTACATATTTTAAGGAGTATTTATGATCAGATCATTAGGGTGTTCTGGTAGGAGACAGGTTGAATCAGATCATGTATTCTGAGGTGAGCATTGATCAAATTTCTTTTTTAATAAGCCATTCTATTTCGCCTACATTTTGCTTATCGCTTATGGTATCAATTAGTTTACACTGTCATCTGGATACGTTCCCTTTTTTGTTGGAAACTGTAATCTCTTCTCACCACAAACATTATAATATGCAAATGATAAATTGGATCCTACATATTGCGAGTGCATCTAAGTAGAGTTAGCTAGAATTCAAGTGGCTTCATTAGATCTAATTCACTCAGGGTATACTGCTAATGAATTTGATTTCAGACAAGAGAAACAAAAAGTCCAGCGTTTCAGATATACTCCTGTCTAACCAGTAAGTTCTACTAGTTAGTATCAGTGGTTTTCAACCACTCATATCAATCATTATTGTGCCTAATTATGCTATGTTGAGAGATAGTTTAAATGTATAAATTCACATCAATCTTCACTAGCTGATCGTATGTTTCTACTCCGTTTTATTTTAACACTATTCATTGGTTCCACTAGTGTGTGCATTTTTCTTACTATCTCTCTAATCTCTAGCCTGGATGACATTGGTCGTACTGACTACCATTTCACCAGTATAAATCCACTGTCTGGTATTTGCAACTAAAAAGTCAATAGTAAAATCGACTTTAAGTACAATTAAGGTCATCATCCAAATTGCACAAAATCATTTAGTCCTAAACAATCTAAGTACTTTGGTGTAACTATGTTGCCATATTTGTGCGTATATATATATATATATATATATATATATATATATATATATATATATTTGTATAACGACTTCATTGAATAAGATTCTTAAATATTTATGTAAGTTACCTACATATTATTTAAAATTCGCACGATTTAGGTTCTAGTGAAACAATATTATTGACTGTATTTGGCTATTGACCAATGACCTTGATTATTTGTACAAGACAGTCAGGTGGTATTTTGTTGGTTAGACACATAATAAGTATATAAGCGGATACATAAGCGTGAGTATTATGTTTATTGACGAAAGAATCAGGTATGATTCAACTTGTAAATGTTTTATAATTTACCAGTATTTATTTACTGACTGCTGTAAATTCATCTTTCATTTTAATCAATCTGTCATTTTTGAAACATTAAGTGATGAACAGTATACAGAAGTGATTACGTCTAAAGGTGTAAGCATTTGGAGACAAAAATATTGTTGAGTATAGCTGTAAGAAATTAAAAATACATTTTAGGTATATTGTAAAGTTGGACGTTTAAGAAAAAAACTAGTGAGGTTGGATTATATATAATCTCTTTGTAGGTGTCACGAACTCCTGATCCATTGATATGTCAAAGACAATTTTTCTGTTTTCAGAAATTAATTGGATGCTCACTAGCGACTGGCTCTATTCAGGCAGTTAGCTAGGGTTCTAGTGGGAAGCCGTGACCAGTAGGGTAAAGTAGGTTCAAGGTGAGGCAGTAACTCATCGAGGTAGACATTGCGAATTGGTCGCGCTCTATCATGATTTGGCAGAAGTTAGAATTCATTGGCCATTGGATTTGGTCCCAGTGGCTTATTGCTGTACAAGCTCGTCTTGTAACCAGAAGGCCGTGGCTTCGAACTTCGTGGTGTGGGTGCGTACTACTGAAGAGTCCCCAACAGGAACTGAAGGAACAGCTGTCCAGTACTACCAGGTTTTCCAATGGTTCAGACGTTAGCTCATGATGAAATCTTCCAAACAATTTTTTTTATGTTGACAATAACTCAAATAATATATATATATATATAAATTCAGCTGGTCCACTACAGCCAAGAACATAGACCATACCATTTGGATATTTTCAAGGCATACACAATAACATTTTTCAGCATATATTTGTCAAGATTAGAACTCATACCAAACAGTAGCTCAGTTTTTGAGCATATTGTGCTTATTTACCTCATTTTACCTGGATAAGGGAGTATTTCAGAGTGATTTCTAAGGCATAGCGAAGGCTTTCGAATGGTTTGACGCTATATATTTCTGTGTACAGTCGAAGCCCCTAATATATATAGGGAAAACCTTGAATTGTGTGTACAGAAGTGATTTGTTCAATCCACGTTTACTACCGTAGCATTAGGCTGATTATTAGTTGATGTGTAATAATTTCGTATGTAGTCCACCTTCATTTGAATGTTTGTTTTTGTAATCTTCAAACTTAAAAGCAAAACACTTCTTCACTCTCATTTTAAGTCTTTAAATCTTATGAATGATATTTCCGATTCCAAGTGCTTGACATTTTTATGATAACCATTCGTGAACATTACATAAGTCTAGCTATAACCAAACTAGGCGATTTATTCAGAATACAATATGCAGTGGTAACAATTTCAACTGTGTACTTGTGGATCCGTTGTGAGCTCAGCATAACGATAAGAAAAGTGAACGAGTTAAAGAATATCAATTTAGGAGTCCGAACTCCCCAAATGACCTTGAATATATACTTTTTTTATTTTTTCACGTTCCCAGTGGAACATAAAGCTCCAAGCTAGACGCTTGAATTTTCTGTAGCAGTGTTTATTTTTACAGGATGGGGTTGCTAGCTTCATGCCCAACCTTTCCTCTTTACCAGCTTTATTACCGTCTAAGCCAGGTAAAGGATTGTGTTGGTCGGGGATCGAACCCCGGACCATATGCATGGTAGGCAAGCTTCCTAACCGCTGTGCCACCGATGCCACTACTCATCGGATAATTAGACTTACTATTATGAGTGCTGTTCACGGTCCTGATTTCGCACTTTAATACTATTTGGATAATAGGTTGATAGCACGTTAGACTTAAGATTAGGTCTTGGGTGTTTTACTTTTATTATCTGAATTTTTCTAGTAAACAAACGGCATTTTTGTGTGTAAAACACTGATTCTTTTGAAAGGTTGTGTCAAGGTCAGTTGTGCATTCGTACTGCTTGTATCATTATTCTTTAACTTTGAAAGTGAAGGCCAAGTATTCCAAATAAAAATAAGAAAAGTTACAGTGTCATAGCAAAAGTCAACGTCTTTCAAAAGTTGACATTCAGGAAATAGTCAGATACAGGGAATGCTATGAAAGGTTATTTCAATGGAAATCAAACCATGTCTGTCTCTTTGGACTTGAAGAAAGTAGCTACAGTATTCCACTTATTCCCTAGGTACTTTTTCCGTAATTCTACACTGTTTGGTAGGATTATGGCTTTTTAGATTAGGGTTGATGGTTAACGTTGGGATTGGAGTTAAGGGTAGGTGTCGGAAATATCAATAAATCTCAAAGTACCATGACCTACAGTCAACTGCATTAATGCATCTATTGCTCATAGTATGATTTCTTTAAGGACCACATGTGAGGCGACTTGGAGACATTCTTACAGCACATAAGCGACAACAACATAGTGCATTATCATGTTTGCTATGTTTTTTAGTGTATTTTCCAACGATTATGCAACTTTTTTGCCAATGAGTTCTGATTAGTTGTTCAAGGTCACAATGGTCTTGGCTGTGATAGTTTAACTTTTCCCATAGATGTTATACCGAATGAAATAAATTTGATTTAGGAATTATTTAATTTGTGACTGAAACTACTGCCGAGAATCATCGGGCTTATAAACACCTTTGAAGTCTAAACGACCACAAGAGAATAGTTCATTATGCTAACTGATATTTCGTGGAACAATAGTTGTGTGCTCTTCCACTCCAAATTATAGATCAGAAGTATAGTCGAGATTTTCAGAAGATACCGTCTGTGTCTAATTAATTCTTCCTTCTCCATGATGTGGTTCGTCTGTAATTCAGAAAGAATTCCTACTAACATCTATCCTGCTTTAAATAGTACGTTAGGATTAGTATAAAATTAGTGGATGGTGGCTAGCAGTGGAATCCAGGATGCGCATTTCGTCCTATTTGGGACTCGTCATCTGGATGTACCTGCATTTCTGAGTGAGTGATGAGGTTCCCACTGGGGCTCTAACCCAGCACCCATAGTTTCAAACGCCAAAGCGTTATCCACTAGGCCACTTGGGCCACGAGAGCCACCTCTTGTGCAACGGGTCATATTAATTATTGATTCCACTGCTAGCCACCATCCACTAATTGTATACTAATTAAATGCCCAGACATCGTCGAAGCATCTGCACAAGAAGCCGGCATGTCAGCCTGAGACTGAGCACTTCGGCCCAATCAATCGACGGGAAAATCAAAAATTCAATACATTAGAATTAGTTAAGATTAGCTTTTAATATCCGTCAGATTTGATAATATGAAATATTCCCATATTATGAATTTAAAGTCAATCTGAACGAAGGATATTCTTTTCAAAAATTTCTCTTCAGGTTCTTACAATTATAAAATATAATATTTTTGGTCGTTACAATAAAGGCCAGTTATGCGGTGGATACATTTTTAAAGTAAAATAACAGATTAGTTATGGGGTGTCAAAATAAATAGTGGCAGTGTATACAAGCACAAAGATATCCACAAGGCTACATGGGTGTCACCAGACGGGCAAACCAAAAACCAAATCGACTTCATCTCAATCTCAAGGAAGTGGAGGCGCAGCCTACTGGACACAAAAGCAAGAAGAGGAGCAGACGTTGGCTCAGACCACTATCTCGTACAAGGGACAATCCAAATCAAATTAAAAGCTTTCAGGGAATCAGGAGCTGCAGATAGACCACAAGCCAAGTTCAACACTCAAAAGCTGAAGGACCAGGCTACAAAGGACATCTTCATTGCAAGCATAAAGGACAAAGCTGAGACACAAATCAACACCAGCGAAAAGGTCGGCGTCGAAAAGCACTGGAACAACTTGAAAACGGTGTGGAGCCAAACCTGCATAGAAATTCTAGGCAGAAAAAAGAGACAGGACAAACAGTGGCTCACTACGGACACTTGGAAACTAATAGAAGAGAGAAGGACAGTGAAGCAAAAGATTATCCAGTGCACTGACGAGCAACAAAAACAGGAGCTGAATGCAAGCTACAATACACTGAACAAAAGAGTGAAGAAAAGTGCCAGGGAAGACAAAAGAAAATATTATGAAACCATGGCAAACGAAGCAGAACAAGCTGCAGGCAAAGGAGACCTCGCCACACTCTACCAAACAACTAGGAACCTTTCGGGCAAACGTTCGACACAGATTAAGCCAATAAAGGACGACAATGGAAAGTCAATCACCAAAGAGGTGGAACAGAGAAAGCACTGGGTTGAACACTTCAAAAGACTTCTAAATCGTCCGCCACCTACAACACGTCCAGCAATACCAACAACGGAAGCAGAACTACCAGTGAACACTGACCCCCCGACGAAATCAGAAGTCCTGAATGCAATCAAGATGCTTAAAGCTGGGAAAACACCGGGACCAGATGGAATCCCAGCAGAGGCTTTGAAAATAGACCCAGAGACAACAGCGGACTTGATGACACCACTGCTGGAGAAGGTGTGGAAAGAGGGCAAAGTACCCGAGGATTGGAAGAACAGTTACTTATTCAAACTTCCAAAGAAAGGAGACTTAAGTCAATGTAAAAACTGGCGTGGAATTATGCTTCTGTCCATTCCAAGCAAGATACTAAGTCGCATCATCCTGGAGAGAATCAAACAAGCCCTAGATGAAAAACTTCGTCCGGAACAGGCTGGATTCAGGAGAAACAAATCATGTATTGATCAAATCGCCACTCTACGGATCATCATTGAACAAAGCTTGGAATGGCAGTCACCTCTCTATCTCAACTTCATCGACTTTGAAAAGGCCTTCGACAGCGTCGATCGAGAGGTCATTTGGAAACTACTTCGCTACTACGGGGTCCCATCGACAATTATACACCTCATCCAACAGTTATACGACAATGCTGCATGCCAAGTAATCCACAACGGGAAACTTACGGAAGCCTTCGAAGTGAGGACGGGAGTGAGGCAAGGCTGTCTACTATCACCAATGATCTTCCTGATTGCAATTGATTGGATAATGCGACAGACAACGGCAACCAACGAGGGAACAGGCATAAAATGGACTGACACAAAAGACTTGGAGGATCTGGATTTCGCCGATGATATATGTCTGATTTCCCATAAACTGGAAGATATGCAAGTGAAAAGTAACAAGTTGGCAGAAGAAGCATCAAAGATAGGACTTCACGTGAACATAGATAAAACAGAGATAATGAAGATTCCTAGCCAACATCAACAGCAACAACAACAACAGACCACAATAAGCATAAATGGGAAGAACCTGAAAGAAACAACCTCCTTCACCTACCTGGGAAGCATCGTCTCAACTACAGGCGGAACTGACGAGGACATCAAAGCCAGAATCGGAAAAGCAAGACAAGCTTTCATTACTCTCAAATCTGTGTGGAGGTCAACAGCAATCAGCATCAAAAATAAGATCCGGATTTTCAACTCCAATGTGAAGTCAGTGCTACTATACGGATCAGAGACTTGGCGAGTCATAAAGAGCATCTCAAACAAACTTCAAACCTTCATTAACAACTGTCTCCGCTCAATACTCAAGATCAGATGGCCAGAAAAGATCAGCAACAGGGATCTCTGGGAGCGAACCAATCAGGAACCGATTGTGAAACAAATAGGCAGAAAGAAATGGAGATGGATTGGCCATACGCTGAGGAAACCATCAAGTGACATCACTAGACAAGCCCTCGAGTGGAACCCGAAAGGGAGGCGGCGAGTTGGTCGTCCAAGGGTGACTTGGAGGAGGTCATGCGAGGAGGAGATGAAAGCATGTGGACAGACCTGGAGCAGGGTGAAAAAGTTGTCAGAAAACCGAAGTCAATGGAGGTGCGCAGCTGAAGCCCTATGTTCCTCTAGGAACTAAAGGATACAATAATAATAATAATAATTACGTCTCCTACACATAGCTGAAGCTGTTTCAATAAGATCGTCTAAACCGGAACTTTGTATCCAAAATGAACACGTCTAGACGCTGTTCCTACCGTGGCCAACCTTGGATTGATGATTTTTCTTCTCACCAAGAGTGCTCCTTCCCCTTAACCCTCTTGACTTTTTTTACTTTGCTAATTATTAAAAATATTATTATTAGTTATTATTATTCGTCATAATTTATGCCCTTCATGCAAACATTCCCTCAATACTATCGAATTTTTCAATTATACGGACTTATTATTATTAGTGATATTATCTGTTTTCTCAATATATGCCTCCACCTTTTTCATTTCACATATTCGTTATCTCATAATAAACCGCTCATTGCAGTCTTACTATCCCCTGTTTAAGACAGACCAATTTGTACTAGCCACTCACCTGACACCTTCGATACCCTTGAACTGATTTGTCAATTTTCCAACCCCACACTCTAAAATTCTATTATTATTAATCACCACCGTTGTCTCCCATTTTACAATATTTTCTAATCGATTTCAGCCTAGCACGTTTGTTACACAAATACGACTGTTTATTTTGACAACCCATAACTAATCTGTTATTCTACGATAAAAATGTATCCACCGCATAACTGACCTTTATTGTGACCACCACAAATATTATATTTTATAATTGTAAGAACCTGAAGAGAAGTTATTGAAAAGAATATTCTTCGTTCAGATTGACTTTTAATCCATCAGATTCGTTACAAATGCATAATCAATCATTGTGCTGAGTGTTTAATGATAACCAGGTTGAAAAAAGTTATTGAGTAGCATTCATGAGTAGATAAGTGAGGTCTGGTGACCAATGCACTGCTCATTTCATGATTTGTGATTATCAATCACTTAAAATAAACATGCAAGTTGCTTCTGTTGAACAATGCTACAGACAGAAAACAGCGTGTGTGTGTGTCTTCCAGATCAATTGAGCTAATACTTGACACATACTTTCCACTGAACGTTTTTGTTTTCATACTGATCGTCGTGGAAAATCATGAAACAAATAAACTCTTTCTATTTCACAGGTTAATTGTCTCACATGGCCAAATTTGGTCGAGGTATTCAAATCGCACTTTCATGGGTTCCAGCGAGTGATGGACATGTCCCAAATAATGCGATCAAGGTTGACGATCATGTCTATATAGCTCGCTGCAAACATGACAATTACTGGATCCCTGGGAAAGTTACTCCAGGACATAGTTCAGCTTACTATGGAAACAGTAAAACAGAAATAAGCAGCAAACAATATGAAGTCTTGTGCGACAGTAGTATCTCACATGAGAAAAAATGGTAAATTTCTTAATATCTAAAGCCTATCCAACACAATTTATATATATATATATATATATATAATAAAATGGGGGTGAATGTTCTGAAAATGTACATTTGAAGAGTATCACAGTGCGTAAAATATATGTTTTAGACTTCAAACTTATAAAGTTGACACCGCCACCCATAATACCACTTCACTTTCAATAGTCACATATTATATCGATAAAAGTTTGTCAGTCTAAGCATATTTCAGATACTCCCGCCGTCGTTTAACAACTAGGTTGTCGTCTTTGGACCCATATCATTAGAGTCGACATTAGATGATTTAGGTAGACAGCTAATTTGATTTTGAGGTGATTGTACAATACCATCCATCCACATCACATCCAGGCATTAATCATGGTGAGTACAGTGAAATTATGACCTAATTAAAACTCGGATTCCCATAGCTCAGGTAGTGGAGTGTCGGACTACCCTAACAGACGTGGTAAATACTAAGGTCACGGGCGAATTTTCGAAATGAATGCATGAATTCATGATTAGTTATGATCCTGAAGTAACTAAATCATACTTCATTTGAAATATCACTAAAGTAGTGGAAAGACCGTCTGTATGCTCCCATGATTTCATCATTCAGAATTATCTTTTGCTGTCCAACACTTAAAATAACCAGAAGACAAACTGAAAGTAGTGAAGAAAGACAGAAAATCTTGGTGTTGGAAACATATGCGTCCTACTGATAAATAAATCATTCGAAGATTCACTGAAAGGTGTATCCAGCTCAGAAGGTTTTTGAGATACCGTCAAACTTCAATCACAGTAGCAACTGTGAGGAGGATACTGATTCTATGAAAGAAATGTACAAAGTGGGACATTTTTATAGCTGGATCGATTACATCCAATTTACGGAGTTCTGTTGTTACTCTGAAATGAGAAAAAGAAAGAATGTTAGCATCAGAGAGATAAATTCTAAACCGATAAACTTATCCAAAGCAGGATAAATGCAAAAGACGTTTATTATAGACCACAAATATCAGGACAAACGATTATCTGACTGACTACTAAGATGCCACTTTCATACTACTGAAGGCAGACAGAAGACCAAATGAAAGAAATGAATAACAGAAAATCTTGGTTTTGGAAATATCGGCGTCCTACAGATAAGTAAATGTGCTAACTGTTTATATAGAAAACTTTGGCAGGTAGTGCCGTCACCCTCTGTATCTATTAGGTTTATTAAATTGGTTGAATGTCATGTTGTTTTGTATACTTCAAGTGATTTAGTTACTCTGTAGAGCAACACAAGCAACTGTTCCTCGTAAAAGGATTTGTAGTTTTGATGATGTCAGAAGTCTTTTGGGATAATTTCCTACTTCATTCATATGGTATGTAACAAATAAGAAGGTTTTGACACCTCTTTGATCCCACGATATATATGTGTGCTACTCATCTTTTCTTTGTTTCTTGTTTACATTTATTGATTTCCATGAACAGTTATGAGTGGGAACCAGACAGTGATGGAAATGTGCCAAAAAATGCTATAGTTGCGGGAATAACGAGTGATACACCAATATATATTGCTAAAGCTGCCGTCAACGGAGAAATGTGTATTGGTAAAGTGAGTTTACGCAATGACTTTTAAATTATATGTAGGTTTCCTTTCCTCTGAAATGTTTTCCAGAAACATGTGTTAATGATACCATCACTGATAAAAATATTTTAGAAATATTATATGGTAATCAGGTTCCCTTGAGCATCTTTCATTGGTTTCATCATCTGGGTTGATCTCTTCCCGGATAGCGAGCTGCCTGGTCATCTGATATAATGTCCTTAGGTTTCTTTTACTTGTGGCCTGACTGTTATGCTTCAGTTGCCAGTGTGTCATAGAATTGTCTTTTGTCTCTCCTATCACTCTTGTTCACTTCTTTATTCAGTGCGATGTTCACTGAACTGAGCTTCTCCTTCTGTTGCCCATCATTTCATTGATTCATTTTCCTTTTCACCATCCTCCTCGCCTCTCATCTATAAGCTTCCAGCTAGGTTTCCATTGAAAGCCATTCCTTGTCTTGTCTCTTCTTTCTTCCTAGAACAGTTTTACATGTTTCCTTGAAAGGCAAATCATGTACTGATCGAATTGCAGCTCTACGCATCACCATCGAACAAAGCATAGAATGGTAGTCAAACCTCTACCTCAACTTCATCGAATTTGAAAGGCCTTCAACAGCATTGACCGAGACGTAATTTGGAAACTACTTCAACACTACCTTCGCTCCATACTGAAGATATAATAGCCGGAAACAATTAGTAAAAAGAAATTGTGGGAACAACCAACCAGGAGCAGATCGCTCAACAAATATGTAGGAGAAAATGGAGATAGTTTGGGTTTACATTGAGGAGACTTTCGAATGAATTCGCAGAAAATAGAGGCCATTGCTCGAGTGGCATCCGAATGGGAAGCGACGAGTGGGTTGTTGGTGTGAGGGTGACATGTAGGAGACAATATGAGGAAGGGATGGGAGAGTCTGAGCAATTGTGGACCCAGCTGTAGAGGACAGCAGAAAAAAGAAGATAGTGGAGATGTGTTGTTGAAGCCCTATGTTCTACTTGGAACCCAAGGCAACAATAAATAATAAATATTATATATATAAAGCACGAGCCGGTAGAAGTTGGAATTCGTAGGCCATTTAATCCATTGAATCTGAATTGTCTACGAGCTGACTTAATCCTAGGTTCGAACTCCGGTGAACGCGTAATCCTGTAGAGTCCCAATCCAGGACGAAACAATTGCCCAGTACTGTTAGTAAATATTACAGATAAGTTTTATTATAAGCACATCAGATACTTCAGTTTCAGAATTCCTATTTCTTGCTTTGATTCTCCAGTAATTAAGCTTTATAGAAAACATTTGTCAATCTTTCCTGATCAATGTCTCGGTAATTTTATTCTCCCTTAATTTTTACTTCGCACCTCTAAATGAAAAACGTGTTTCTTAAATCAAGCCTTTTTGATGAAAGTCTGAGTGGATATTTTCTACTTTACAACCGAATTTCATATCTTTCTCCTAGTGGTAAGTGAACATAGCATATTCCTCTCTCTGCAGTAACGCTATAAACAATAATAGTCCGCTATCTTCAAGCAGTTACAACACTTTTCTATCCAGAAATTTTAATATATGTTTGCAACAGCATATTTAAGCATACACAATTCGTTCTCATCAGGCTTAACTATAATATATCCACATAACTTTACAAATAAAAAAATTCAAATATAAACCAATCATGGTGTTTTGTCTATAGGATAATAAGATGGTGAATATAAAGTGTACAATTTGCCATGATAGTAGTAATGGTAATAATAATTAATAATAATGGTTGTATCAATTATAAAGGATAAACATGTGAGGCAATCTGTGATAACACGAATGACGAAAAACAGCATGATTAAACAAACAAATGTTCAAGGAAGGCGTAGTAGTCGATAAAGGCTAAGAAAAACAAATGAATCGATTAAGTAATGCTAAATTGTAAGGGAAGTAAATGAGACACGTTTTTAATGAATATGTGATAAGATTAAGGGATGAAAAGAGAAGGGTTGAAAATATAAGTTACGGGTGGTGTGGAAGTCATCAGCTGGGTATATCTTAATAGGCCAAGGGAAGGATAATGGATGTACGAACTTCTTTTGAATGAATAGTTAAGGTTAAATAGTTCGGATGCCTATCGCCTCAGCTGTGTGCAGAAGACGAATACGAAGTCTATTGGAAAGATTCAGTGGGTTACGATGAATTACTTTGGAAGCTCTCGTTTTCTTCACTATATGACCACTATCAATTAAATGTGACAAAATTGAGCCATGGACTGTTTTCCTCTGTCCTTTGCCAAACCAAGATGGAAGATATTCACTAACACGTTGACTAAGCTGTCTAGTAGTACGCCCAACATAACTGTCACCGCAGGTGCAGTTGGATTGACAAATACACATAGATGTGGCTTATCCTTCGTTTGCATCCCAATCATTCGTCGGCTAGAGAATGACAATATAGGTATGCTGTGTAAAATGTTCTTCATATACTCCTGAAAAGTCTCTGGAATAAAAACTCATGTGACAAGTCAGCATTAAATTGTAACTTAACAAATAGAGGCTTTTTTCGTGCAGTTACAGTCTCAGGTTTTTTGTATTCACCATCGTGTTATCCTACAGACAAAATACTACGATTGGTTTATATTTGAATTTTTTTATTTGTAAAGTTATGTGGATATATTAGAGTTAAGCTTGATGAGACTTAATTGAAGACACAATACTGTTCACTTAAATGTGTTGTTCTAAATTTTACTATGGGAATATTTAATATATGTCTAAATTTTTCAGCAGTTAAAAAATAATGAGTGAGTGGTTGAAAAAAAAGTGAAATCTGACTATAAAAATCATTTTGAGACCTTGTATACGTCGTCAGACTCACCAATAAACAACAATGCTTATCCCGCAAAATAATCAGAAAGTTATTTATCTTTTTCCAATTATTTAATGTATTCTGTACAAGAGATTTCCTGTGTGGTGGTAAATAGTGACAGTTGGGCTAACATCAGTCGACGTGACAAATACGATTCTAGACGACGACCATACCACGTTGAAAGCACCGGTTCTAGTCGGATCATCGAAGTTAAGCAACGTTGGGCCCGGTTAGCACTTGCATGGGTAACCGGCTGGGAATACCGGGTGTTGCCGGGTGTTTGGTGCGTCGGTGACACAACGGCTAGGACGCTCGCCAGCCATGCACATGGTCCGGGGTTCGATCCTCGGTCACCGACGCACTCCTTTACCTCGCTAAGTCAGTAATAGAACTGGAAAAGATGGAAGGTTGGGCATGAAGCTAGCAACCCCATTCTGTAAAAATAAACACTGCTACAGAAACTTGAAGCCTCTAGCTTGGAGCCGCCCTATGTTTCACTGGGAACGTGAAGGAATAAAAAAGAATTACTGATTGGTGATCTTCCTTATCTGTTTTATTTTAAGCGAATACTCTTAAACAGTTGTCATGTTTATTTAATTATTTATCGAGACTGAAATACTTTCCATTCAGGTTCACGATGGCCATAAATGTGCCCATCTACCTTGGGGAGGTAGTGAACACGAAGTGCAACAATATGAAGTATTGGTTTTCAAGAAAAAGTGAATTGAATACCTGAGACTAAGAGAAATTCAAATAGTTTCCTTATCTATTATATTGTTAATAAGAAAAACACTGAACTGCTTTTTGAAGTGCCTAATAAACTGATTATATCTTTTTCTCAATAAATGCTTCAAAAGATAATAAAAATAATAATTTCGTTAATTATTTTTTCACAAGTTAAAGTGGATTTTATTAATGTACAAATTTTGTTTAAGAAGTTCGAATGTCCTCTTGGTTGTGTGGTTTAGTTGTGAATCTTTCACTGCCCTTGTAGAAAACATCTTTATTGCCTATTTCAAGTTTCAGAATTGTACATGGACAATGTATCTGTCTATTCTGATGAAGTTATCTGTTTAGTCTTCCCTATGAATGCGGCTACTTGTATAACTATTGGTTGTACTTCTGACTTGACCTTTAACCTTTTGTCTATATAATTTACTCTTCATTGACCATTAAATTTGATCTAAATCAACAGGTGAATCTACGCAGAGACTGTTTGGGAAGATGTCGTCCATATGCCAAGATAGTCACTTTATTCAATACTTTTTAAACTTAAAGACTCGTTAGTAAGAGACGATGACATCAACTTCTTCCATAAAATAGATTGTATCAACTATGCAAAATATTATATTGGCTAAATTGGACTTCGTCTTTAACTTGACAATGATGGCCACAAGTTAGTACTTCAAAACTATGACAAACATGCATTCATACCAATTCATTTGGACCAATATTGACACTATTTCAACTAGAGAAATGTAAAAGTCATAGAAATTATGTAGAAACAACACATTTCAAATCAATACGAATTACTAGAACTATAAGAAAATCTTCGTGTACAATCAGATGTAATTAAAATCACCAGGAAAGACGGATGTTTTCTTTACGCATAGTTCAGAAAAATCATTTCTCAGTAAATTGATCACTGAAGATGTTATCTAGAAAGGCAATGAAATCTGTTGTATTTGGCTATTGGAATAAAGCTAGTGAGCTGAACTGATACTCTACCGCATAGAGCTGCATTTTCAAGTTAAACATTAGGCCTTAGTCTCCAGAATATATATATATACATGGATTAGTCTTAAAATTGTTATATAACAGCATTTTTTACATTAAAATACCAACTTTGTGCCTTTTCTCAAGAAGCTATATGAAAATATGCATGAACTGCATGACTTTTGAGGAAGTGAATCGCTGACAAATCTTGTCAGACTTTTTGAATGAATAAGATAGTTCTCTCAGGAGTGAAATGCATCGGTGGCACAGTGGTTAAGACTCTCGCAGACCATGCACATGGTCCAGGGTTCGAGCCCACGCCGAGGCACACCTGATATCTATGGTCGGCCTGCGAAATTTGGACTACCGATATCCACGGTGAGAATTCCATACTTGTACCAAAAATACGGTGTGGAATCAAGCTGTAACAAAAAATAAAAAATAAAAAAATACATCTATGTCCATCAAAAAGAATATTATTCTGTTGAAACTTCTCTATACACCAATAAATTATATTGCCTTGATATGTGGTGCAAAATATTTGTATTCACATAGAACGTGCATTATTTCAGAAAGTGTAACATGAACAAATATGAATAGGCAGTGAATGGTTGCATATCAACACAAACTTAATATTTATTTAGAATCATTCTGTTCGCGACTTCTCCTATCTTCTGCCATCTTTTTCAGCTTGGGTCACACTTGCCCACATTCTCTCGTCTTCTCCTCCCTACACGATCTCCTGCATGTCACCGGCGACCCACTCGTCGCTTCCCATTAGGACTTCACTCGAACAATGGCCTCCATTTCCCACGATGTGATGTGACGGTCTCCTCAGTGTTAACCTAGTCAATCCATTTCCATTTTCTCCTACGAATTTGTTGAGCGATCGGCTCTTTATTTGTTTCTCTCCATAGTTTCCTGTTATTTATTCTTTTTGGCTGTCCAGCTGACATTTGATCTTCACTATGGAGTCAGTAAAGCGACCAGCTATTGATGAAAGTCTATAACTTGTTGGAAATCCTTTTCGTGACACGCTGGCCAAGTTTATGACCCGTATGGAAGGACCGACTTCGTATTGGTGTTGAAAATGAGAGTCTTTTTTTCATATGCTGAGTGTAGAAGATTTCCAAACTGGTTTCAGAGTGATGAAGGTGAAGAAAAATTTCCTTTCGATGAATTCATCAACTAGGCTGTACATTCATCTATTTATGATAAACGGGTGGGAGAGTTCCAGAATAATTTCCGGTCAAGGGTCAAATTAATAAAATTATAATGAGGAATTAAAATGGCGTAATAAATAGGGGGACGAATAAAACTCAAACAAGGTAGCATCATAATTACTGAGAAGACTGACATATTGTGCAATTGGGGGATAGAAGTGTAGAAATAACAATAATAGGCAGGATGTTTGGATAAAAGAATCTAGTGGGATCATAACTAATGTGACGAATGATTGTTTATGCAATCAGGGATTAAATATGTAGAAACAATAAAATGACAAATTACACAGTAAATTCGGATATGATAATATGGTAGTGTAAATAGGGATTATGAAAGACTTAAAAATAACATGAATAAACAGGAAGTTTGGATAAGAAAGGCGATGGGATAGTCATTACTAAAAGAATCGCCGGTTTATGATGGCCATGTCAGGGACAAGAGTTGGACGTATTTCTTTTGGATACATATCGTTGGGCACTGAAGATATTGTCTAGAATGGCTGTGAAAACTGTTGTATTCGGCTATTGGAATAAAGCTAATGAATTGAATTAATGACCTACTGTATAGAACTGCATTTTTAAGTCAGACGTTAGGTTTAGGTTTCCTGACTATATACATATATGGATTACTCTTAAGATTATTATATAAGACCAGATTTTCCATTAAAATACCAACTTTGTGCCTTTTCTCAAGAAGCTATATGAAAATATGCATGTACTGTATAACTTTTGAGGAAGTGAATCGCTGACCAATCTTGTCAGACTTTTTGAATGAATAAGATAGTACTCTCAGGAGTGAAATGCTTACCTCTATGTCCATTAAAAAGAATATTATTCTGTTGAAATTTCTCTAAACACTATCCAATTATATTGCCTAAGGAATATTTGTATTTACACAGAATAAAACACTATTTCCAAAAGTGTAACATGAACAAATATGGATATCATACAAATGGTTCCCTTTTATTATTTTGAATGAAGGAGGGATGAATATATCTGCAGGATAATACGAGCTCGTTTTATTTCATGGATTCTCTTCAACTGCCTACATCCTACACAAAACCAATCATAACTTGCAAAATTTGTGAAAATATTCAAATATGAATATGTAGCGATCAGTCGCAAACTAAACAAACTTAATTTTTCATTAGAATCATTTTATTTAAAACTTGTCCAGAGAGAACATTTTAACCGGTACTCTTGTACGAGTGTCTAGGTTATGCATAAAGAAACTAAGTAAACAAGCAAAACAAGTATGGTAATGTTTAATATAAGGAGGAAAGTACATCACTGGGACGAATTACATATTTCAGCACCACATATAACAATAAAATAACTGAGAAAGTTTGTTATGTACTGGTCGAGAATTTAATAGTCCTGACGCAAGAAAGACGGAAATCAGAAGACCACTAGGTTTGCGATGATACTTCTATTTTCCAAACACAAAGAGAATCAAAGTCACACAAGAGTGTGAGAGCAAAAATATATATGAATGTCCGAACAAGTGTGTGAACACAAGTGTGTGAGCGAATATCCAAAATGAACAAATCAATAGACAGTCTTAACATGATTGGCTAATTATAATGGAATATCGATCCATATATACCTAGCAAATATAACAGACTATCAAACAAACACACATATTATATGGATACATATCAAAGTTGTTTAACTTAGATTCAAAATAAGAATAGTTTGCCTGTGGACTGGATACTGACAATTACAAATAGTAACAGCTAAATCAATGAGGAATTACTTTACTTCACCGTGTTACAGGATTTGTTTCTGCGATTGTATAATTAAAGGTGATTCATCTCTACATTTTGGCTCATCAAACTCCTACCATTCATCTACTTGTTTGCTAGTCTACCATTCAGTATGTCTCTCAGACTAGCTTCATTAAACTTCTGCTCGTATAAACGCACTCAAGCAAATCTGTGTACTTTATAAGGTGTCATAAAATAGGATTGAAGTGTAAGAGAATATTCTTCAAGAGCAGATATCGAAAAGAACCATAGAAAACTATTAAGAACAAAGCATATTTCCATTCTTATTTGGGATGTTTCATTACTAAACACCCCCAACCTTATTACTACTTACCTAATGTTTCATGTATTCTGACTGGTGTCATTTCGCGGCACAGTGTAACCATCATACTGTTTTATTATTGAGTACCTGTCTTCACAGACGACTTTGTAGTCCGCAGCAGTAATGAATTCTCACTAAGCCTATCAAAGATCTGTTTTGATGCAAATCACTGATGAGCATTGGAGAATCATTCAAATGCTAAATTTTGGAGACAGCTGAGTAACTTCAGAACTGAACCTCTGACTTAAAATAGGTGGGTAAACCAATTTGCATGTTTGTGCAGATATTAACTGATAATATTCTACGGCAATAGTACCCCATCGTGAAATATAAAAAGTTATAATTTATGGACTAACGGAATCGAGTGGTAAATCATTTACTTAGTGACCTGGATGTTCTAGGTTGCGTCTATGGATGAGTATAGGTTGAGCGCTGTCTATTCCTTCATGGCTTTCCTTAGGATGATTCAAAGGACATTAACATTAAAACTAATCAGATCCCGTAATTGCTTTATTCCAAACAATACTTTTGATACATACATGGAGTTTTTAGCAGGTATATAATATTACATCTAATCTTTTCAATACGTAATACGTTGTTCTTATTATTGTTCCCTTGAGTTCCTAGTGGAATATAGGAATTCAACTGCACGTTTCCACTTGCTTCTGTCTTCTGCTGTACTTTTCAGCTTCATCC